TTCACTCAGATTCAGCTCTCTCAGGAGTAACGGGTTTTTAATGTGAAGAATGTAATTCAGATATTTACAGGCTTCTTCTGCATCAGGACTTTGTAACAACCTGGACACAGTAAATGTACAGACATTACCTGCCATACAGTGATTTATTTTCACAAGCTAGTGAAAAGCCTTTAGTCATTTTATAGCTCTTACAATTGTCTTTTTAACAGTTTAATTTATTTAATTTGAAACTTTTTTAAGACTATTATTTTAAGAACACTCACCGCAGTGTCTTCAGTGAGAAGTATTGACTCTGTAGTAAATCACTGAGCTGCTTCACTCCTGATTGTCCAGGATCATTTCCTGTGAGATCCAGCTCTATCAGGTGTGAAGGGTTTGATCTCAGACCTGAAGCAATAGCTAGATATCCTTCTTCAGTGATACTACAGTCTGAAAGTCTACAGAAAATAAATCCATTAATTACAATTAACTGTGTTTAAAATTATTTAATTAGTGGACAAATCGCAAAATATACACTACAGCTGAATAAATGACCAAATATGCAGATAAACGGATAACATATGCAGAAACACAACTTTTAGTTTTATTCTGTCATCATTTATTCTGTGAGTGAGGTGATTAATCAGCTATTACCTGATTAATTTGAACTTAAACTGATTCCAATGTAAAGAAAATGTAAATGTAAAAAATGTAAAGAAAAGCTTATATTTAAAACTGCAACACATTTGAAAAGTAATTATTCCGACTATGTGCCATTAAAGCTGAGATTCTCCCATTTTCAGTGATATATGATATATTAAAGTTTTGTAAAACAGGGCCCATATTCACAAAACATTTTATCTTACCACTAAGAGTTCTCCTAAATAGAGAATAGAGAGAAGTCTTAAACTAAGAGTAAGGGTGGGGTTGACCTCGTTGCTATGGATGATGTCAGCATTCTTACTAACTATGCACACAGTGATTGGCTGAAAGGGCCCACTGTCAAGTCTAAAACATTAAAACCAAAAGCACACTATGGCTTAATTAGGAATGGGTACCGAAACCCGTTATTAAATCGGCCCGGTGCTAAATTATGAAAGACCGGAGTATCGATAAGCTCTGACGTTAACGGTTCTGCTGTCGGTACTGGAGAAATTAAGAGTTGATTTAGATGTTGGCTTCCAAGGATTATAAAAAAAGAAGTTATGTGGTAAAACTATTCTTTCAACTTCTTTACCTTCACAGAGGTGCACATTCGTTCCTCCCTAAAACCCAAACTTAACGTCAGAATCAGCTCAATCAGTGATTGTTTCAAAATGCAGTCTTCATTGTTGCTAAATTGCAGGACATGTTTGATAAAACGTTGAATCACAATAATCTGCGCGAAAGATGCTGTTCCCCAGGCTTGTGTGTGCGGACAAGCACACACAAAATGGAAAAGCAAATTACACTTTGGGCTTCGAGCGTGCTACCAAACGATCAAATACACACACAAATATGTCAAAGTGGCCGGCTTGAAGAGTATTCACTTAAACAGTTTATGTCTTGGACGTGAACAGCTGTGAGAAAATCCGATGTGTCAACACGATCTCATGAAAGTGCGTATCAATACCACGTGTTTCTGTGTCTATTTGGCATACTATTTATACGCAGGAATTGACTTTGGCGTGCATATGATACGCAATGGTTAGGATTACTAGTGTGGGGTGGGTGCGTATTATATGTACGCCAAAACTGCATATTATATTCACGCGAAAATTGCGTATTATATGCACGCCAAACATGTGCATTTCATATGCACGCCAAAATCCATTTCTGCGTATAAATAGCACGCCAGAGAAAATCCCTCACAGCTCTTAATCTGAATACATTAGCTTTAAAAAGCATTAATCGATCAAATTATGCAGTGAAATCTATGCAGTGTTGTTTTACATTTGGTTATTTTATTAGATTTCTTTTGTAGGCTATATTATACCGGAACAAAAATGTCGGTAGACCTCCATTAAAAAAATTAAAGCATCTTTAATTTTTAAGATACATAATGTATCTTTGTTTTATTGTATTTGTCAGTTTGTTTTACTTTGTTTCTTTGTTCATGTTCATACTGCATCTTATCTTATGTATATAAAACACTAAAAATGCCTGCACACTGGTGCATTTACAAATAGATGTTTTATATTAATTTAATTAAATTACATTTATTTTGCAGAATATGAAGCAATTTTAATTAAGCTCTTAATTTGTTTTGTGTATATATATATATATAGAGAGAGAGAGAGAGAGAGAGAGAGAGAGTTGTGGCCAAAA